GGCGCAGGTGTCGTGTCGTCGTTAACCGTCAATCTATAGGTTTTGCATGTTACGGTGTCGATAATTTGAAGATATCTACACGTTATACACGTATAACCATAGTGTTTGCGTTCTGCGGCTCGTGTTAGCGAAGCTATGTACTATGTTTGATGTTCGGGAACAGGTAGGAAGTAAAAAATAACGTCATAGCAGGCAATGGGAGACGTTCGGAGCACAAAAGCCGTGACGCAGTAACGTATTCTGCACTGCAATGAACAAAGTTCAAATTGGGATTTGGACCTCAACGCGACAAATACCGTTCACATTATCAATCCCTAATCTGGCAATAATCCGCACCTTAGCAAAGAATCTAGCATTTGCATTGTATATGTTTGTAGAGGCAGTACCATAACAGAAATCTGCACATAAAACTGCAGTTTGCGTCCACGATGTATCAAGACCGGCCGAAATATTTCCGACTACACCAGAGGCAAACTTTGTAATATGTTTAGAAACTGACAAGCGGAATCTTACTAGAAATCAAGATTTTGCATCTTATGATATATATTGCAAAGTACCACCAAGAGAGGGCAGACCTTATCAAAGATTCGTCATCATCTCATAAAACAGAAACCGACCAAAAACTAATAATTTCCTAATCAAGATATTACGAGTTAAACATTACCGAATGTCCGAAACCGGGACGAACAATTTATTTAAAAGGCCTTTAACATATTCATTCTAACAAACAGCCCGGCCAAACACTCAACTCCAACACAACAAGCAACTTAAGCCAACATCTGGAGAAAAAAGAAATCTGCATCCTACTAAACACACTGGGTTCAATTGCTACGTAGAAGACCCGACAGATATTCTAAACGCAGGCAAAAAATCGAAGGCTGGAGTGAGCTGCGAACAGGCCTCAATATATAGTATAAATACGTTATTGTCGTTGTATCCAGCCGATGTCCGGCACATGGCGACAATGATCAATATAACAATTGTGGCATATTTAAACGAGCAAACAAAATGCCATTACGGGGTTTTAAATCTCCCAACAGAAAATTGTTGGTCTTGTAAAGAAAGAATCGTAATGTTTTCTCAATGCTTGTTCCGGCTGAAGCGAACTGAAGCAGAAGTGTACTGGGTACGCATATAGACGTGCTAAATACTACTACTGGGCGTTTCCACGTCAAGTCGTACAATAATGGTCCCTTCTTTTTTTTATACGTGCATAAATTTCACGTGGAAGCTCCATTCCTGGGAGGTGCATTCAATTTTCTTCCGAAGATATAAATTTCCAAGCTCGAGGCGTAGAGATTGCAAAAGTTTCACCATGTTATTTCGCACAGCCGTCAATTTAACATCGAAGCTTGCACGTCGTGATACTTTTTCTCACGTATCTGCTGAAAGGTTTACACATGCACACAGAGTATTAAAAATTACTATCAAGATTTCTATGCGAAAAAAAGCTACGAAACACGTCAAGTAAACACGTTTCAGAGACACATTCATGAATTATTTACCAACAAACTACTTTATATAAACTTCCGCAAAATACATCAAAATTACCATCTTGAAATGCTTTTTACGAATAGGTAAAAAAAAATGCTTAGCCATTATTTTAGTTCTGTTATTAATTTAGAAATCCATTGCATCCCGAAGGGGGGGGGGGGGGGGGGGGGGCAAATATCCCCCCCCCCCCTCCCCGGGTTGGGTGGCATTAGCACATAAAAATTCGGAGTTTATCGGATTAATCCTAATTGACCAAAATTTTACCTGCAAATGTTTTTCGGTTTTTTTTTTGTTTTTTTTTTTTTATTTATTTATCCGAAAACACAGAACTCTAGTTATAACCGGTCTCGACAATACAATAATGACTAAGCATATCCCTTTGCTCATTTTGATACATTTTACGCCAAAACCAAATTTGACGTCCGTGTTTCTACAGCGTAAGTAAGGTCAGTGTGCCTTTGAGGTGTGGCAACACTGGTCTACGTTGTAGATGAGATTTTAGCCGGTGCAGTACGACTGCTAGCATGAAGTCTTTAACGTGCATCAAGCAGTGGTGATACACGACCGCACGCCGGTACGATTCTCATCCAGATCGAAACGGGCAGGGGTGGGGATTGAACCCCAGAGCTTCGCTAGCGCGAGCTTTCGCTCCACGTGCTCCGAGCTGGAGTGCGCTAAAGTCACCGGATCATGGGAAAGTATCGCTATTGTCTTCCCTCCCTGGTAGCAGACACAAAGAGATGCTAACAGACAACCAAACCTCGCGAGGTGATTGGCCGATCGGTCTCAGCTGCCATGGCAACCGCCATTTCGGTCCACTCAAATCTTCGAAGCTTTGAAGGGGTCCTTCTGAACCAGTCGCGCCAAGATCGCCACGGAGCTTCAACGTATTTAAAGCGTTCCTCGCCGATATAAGAGTCTCTGGAACTGTGTATCCAATCAAATTATCAATAATGCTTGTTTCCACATATATCTTATAATGATTTTGTTCTTGCGTATTTCGAGACAAGAGAATCATTTTTAAATGTTGCCAAGCATCGACGCCACGTGTGGTGGCGGAGCGAAGATGTGCGCTTCTTTAGCCGGTGTGTGGACAGCAAAATCTCGGTATACAAGAAATGTCTTTATAAAGCAACCTTTCACCGGGAATTTGGATCGGCTCGCCAAGAATGAAGAGGTCAAAAAGAAACTGCTCATTCCATGAACAAATATGGCGACCATACGGGGAGCTTGGCGCTACTTTCCCAATAACCAGTGACTTCACGTGCGCTAGGCTGAGCTACCTACTCATCCAAGGATCCCATACATTTTGCGCCATTGTATGTGAAGTAGTTGGAAAATAATTTTAGAATGCATCTCTAAAACGTGTCTACTTGACGTGTTTGGCAACTTTCTTTCATTCTTTGTGCGCGTGTATATCTGTGCGCGCGCGCAGAAATTATTTATTGTAATTTTTAATATTTTGTGTACATGTCGTAAACCTTTCATAAAATAAGTAGGAAATATTATTACTACGTGTATGTTTCAGTGTGAAGTTCATGACTGTGCAAGGCACCATAGTGAAACCTTGGCAATCTCCACGTCCACAAGCTGCAAAATTTAATATCTCCGGAATACAATTAGCTACAAAGTTCACATATAGCGGCATGCTCCTCCCAAGAACGTGGCTTCCATAAATACATTTTACATAACTATGAAAAATATGACCCGGACCAACACTGTACCATCTGACGTAGAAACATCCCACTGCTTCCTCTTAGGACACTGACATTGTGTCTTTTGTGCCCACTTTCCCTCTTCGAGTCAAACAGTAATTGAGCAACCACAAGAAAGAACCATGTTTATGCGAAGAATGGCGGCCTGGTCGTCAAGCAAACATTAGATTAACAAATTAGGCACAAAGAGATAGCAGAAGGTTTCCAGGAAGGCAAGCACAACATTGTCACAATGTCATAAAAACATACCGCAGAGCGACACGACGCAGACAATGAAACGCTTAGCGACAGAGACACCGGTTCGCGTGCAAGAACCGTGGTAAGGCCTCAGGGCAGCGCAAAGGAGGCGCTTCGGACGGCTGCTCGTCTGCGCGGCTGGTGGCCAAAAGGCGCAAGTTTAGGGATGCCATGATCCACCGAACGATTGGGCACGAGTGTTGCGTCACAGTTCGGCAGGGCACTCGGACGATCGAGCTCGAGATCGGATCCAATGATCCGATCTCGAGCTCGATCGGATCCAATGATCCGATCTCGAGCTCGATCGGATCATTGGATCGCTCAGACTTTTCGCGCGATCATTGGATCGCGCGGAAAGTCTGAGAGTTGCAAACATTCCGCATAAGATGGCGCCACCTGTGAAACCAAACCCCCACTGCACGGTCGGAATAACGTATTTTCCCCAAGTCGTAAACCTTTTGTTTTATTACTGTTATTTTTTGTGTGTGTGTGTTGCGTTTTATACAACGGTGCCACTTCTATGCTTTTTTTTATTCTTCTATAAACAAGGATTTTTTTAATTTTGCAGATTTTCAGCGGGGGTTATATTTCTCGTTTGCCTCGCTGACGAGAATGTCGAAACTGGCTCCAGCTTCTGCATATATCGAGATCACAATACATATTTGCAGGCTTATCAACGCAGTTTCGCCGCGCCGACCGCAGAAATATATAAGTGCCACTTATAAGTTATATACCAACTTCTCCGTGAAAACGCCCGTTTATGGGAGAAAGGGGGGGGGGGGGGGGGGGGGGAGAGAGAGAGAGAGAGAGAGAGTTGGTTCTACTTATAGAACGATGCGATGCATAGTACGGAAATACGGTATCTTAACTCCCCTGGTCATTATAAACTAGCTACGAAGCTCCTTGAAAGCTTTTACGCGAACAGACCGAACTTCTTTTAATCATTGCATCGGAGGATTTCGCAACCGAGAGTAGCATTCGAAATTCCATGTGTACGAGTAGTGGGACGTCCGCATCGTTAGCACAGCCGTTGCGCGGCATGGAACAAAGCGCTCGACGTCGCTACGTAATTGGCCGCTCCCTCTGGTGTTCTAGGAAGGGGTTTCTAGCGTGAGCACAAAAAGCGCGCCGCCGATGCGCAATCGCTATAAGCGATAGCATTTTGCTCGGAGGGGCCAGCACAAGGAACAGGCCGTGTTGGTGGCGGCGCGGTTCGCGGTCGGGAGTTGTCGCCACGGCCCGCTGGCTGCGGCACTGAATAGTGACGAGCAAACGCGCAAGCCACCACCGCAGAAAGGAAACTGCTCCTGTACGCTCCGCCGCTCTTGCCCACTCGCACAAGCCTACCTGTCGGAGAGAGAGACCGCGAGAAGACGGGAAAAACAAACAAAAAAAGGAAAGGAGGTTGCGATTTGTGTTCCTGCAGAAGCGAAAAAAAAAAAAAAAAAAAAACGACCGGCGCTTTCGGCTCGTAGTATCGGCTGCTGTCGAACGTAGGGTTCCTGGTTCGCACCTTAAATGCGACGAACCTAAATTGCGCAATAGAAGACTCACCAACGCACTTGCGTTGCCACTCGGGCCTGTAGGGCTTGAGCTCTTTCTGGTCGAGCTTCTCTTCTTTCCGGCGCAGCTTCTCGATGGTCTTCAACCGGAGGGCCTCGGACTTGGCAAATGCTCCCAGGTCCTCCTTGTACTGGCCGAACATCTGCACACGCGCGCACACACACACGGTGAAACACACGCAAAAGAGACACGTGAACACATTTCGCATGTTATGCACGAGGACACCGAATAAAGTGTTTTCGTGGACGGTGGACACTGTGCTGATAATGCAAAACGGGTTGGTCAATGTTGCTTGATGGGGTTTTGAAAATGATCTCTTTCTGTGGTCAATGTATTCCCAAGGTGCCTCATAGTAAGAGGGGAGGACCGCTGCGCCATACTCTTCTTATCTGGACGCACTGTGCCATAAAAGGCTGGGAAAACGAAAAATATTTCTTCGATGCTACGAGTGGCCTATCTTAATATACATTGCCTCTTTTTCACCTTGACGATTCTATTTTATATGGTGCTCGGGTCGACGTTCTGGGATGCTCCTGTTGGTGTGTATAACCGACTTGTCTCACTAGGCCAACAAGCCACGAACACGTGCTCGAAGACGTGTCTTTGAACAAACCTAGCTGTCATACGAAGACGTGTCTCCGTATGGCAACATTTTATCACGTATGTCGTCAACTGGCTGCATGTGGGTGAACAAAAGGTACTGCGGAAAATTGTTCGGGCCACCAACAGGCTGTTTTTGTCATGTCGGCAAGAAGTTTACGTTGCTGTGTCGTCGTGGTGTTGTCCTTATATCCTGTAGCTGTTTGTTGGCTGTCACGTTGTCGTTATGTTATTCTTACATCATGTGCTGTAATGCTGGAGGTTATGCTATATTATCACGTAATGCGATATGTTGCTACTATGCTGGTATGTTATATCATCTGGCTGTTATGCTAGTTCTTAAGTTGTTTGTATGTTGTTATGTTAGGTTGTTTGCCTGTTTGGTTGGTTCTGATATTGTTATGCGTTGCTATGTTCTTATGTCATGATGCCAATTTGTAGTTTAAGCATTTCAATAATCTTTGTCTACTCGGTTGTAACAGGCGTTCATAGCATGCGTAAAGTTCCCAGATGAGAGCTGCGTACAAGTAGCGACATTCTTTGAGACGCCGACTGCGTGACGGTGCAAGTTTTAGGAAGTAATGGCGGCGCACAGCGGAAGACTGAACTGAATGACGCCATTTTGTTCCAGCAAAATGTGCTTTGTCATTTGCATTGGTTGTCGTTACTTGTAAAAAGAAGCACCACGGGACTTTAAGCATACGCAGTACCCCTCTTCTGCGGAATATCAGACGGCGTTCACGGCCCAGTGACTCGGCACTTTTTGCCTGGGTGATAAGCGCTCAGGGTGGAGAAGAGACATTAAGATGCTTTAAATCGTGAATTAAAATCACGATATAAATATTTATTTTAATCACACCAGTTTTACTATTAAAGGTTTAAATCAAGCCTTTCATGTAAAAATATTCCCGGAAGGTTTTTTTTTCTTTTTTTGTTTACCGTTTGTCAATAATTTTGCCTTCTTTGTGTTATTTGTTTTGTACCATCCCATTGCAAGCAAATCAACGCAGAGCAAAAAGCAAATAAGGTTTTTACATACCTATCAATAAATAAAACTTTTTTGTTGTCTTAGTGTGGTCGGGTTTACATCAATAAAAAGTTTCTAATTAAACTGAACTTTAGGTTACGCTAACTCTTTCTTCCGCGCAGCTTTTTTAGCGATCGGACGGAGCGATCACCCAATCTGCCATGTTTAAAAATACACATAGTGATAAAAAATCACTATTTTCGAGCTATGGTGACTTAGATCAGATTAATCAGAATTAAATCAAATAAATTTGATTACAAATATATATATATATATATATATATATATATATATATATATATATATATATATTATTATTTTCTTTTCTTTTTTTTTTATTTTACCCTGTAAGCGCTGGGAAGTTGCATACACATTTCCAGAGCTAATCGCCCGGGCGAAAACTGCCTAATCACTGGGCTGTGAAACCACGCGCGGTGTCTTATATTTCGCAGAAGGGAACTCAACGCTCAGGAAGCGCTCTCCAGTCCAGAAGACAAAAATGGCAGCGCCCGGGGAGGGATTATTAGAACGGTCTATAAAAAAAATAGTGTCAAAAAGGCAGCTTGCCCGGCGTCTTCATCGTGTCGTCGCCGTCGGTCTGCCGATGAAGCCACGGGGTGGTCCGAGCTTTGGGAAAGGAGACAGCAAAGACGCAGTGCCAGCCACGCCATATTGACCAAGAGAGTAATTGGAACGGGCCCAAAAGGGGGGGCGGAACTGTCCGTCGCAGCTGGCAACCCCCGGCCTGCCTGAGCGGCCCTTTGAGTCTGCATCGCGAAATCAAACGCCTTGCGAAACGCTTTCTTCACAGATCTACACGGTAAATGCATAAAGCACATGCGTCGAAGGCAACATATCTTAACACGAACGAGCTCGTGTCAGCAGGATGACCGCGAGCGGTCAACAGACAGATAAGGGTCGAGACGATATGCTTCAGTTTTTACACCATTCGAATATTTAGAAGTCTTCAGCCAAGCGTGCGATCCCCTCAGCCCAGCACGTGGGTGTTCGCCGCTTTGCAAAGCGAGCAAATCACGCGCCATATGCACGAACACTGAAAACGGAACCCGCCAGAAGCCCTTTATTAGAGAAATCTATAGTATCTATAGGGAGTATTCACTGGCGGCCATAGCTGTGTGCGCGACTGCTGAGCGCGTGCTTATGGCGAGCTTCCACAGTTCTTTTACAACGTGCATTCCGCACCATCAAGAGTGCCGGTCTTAGCCCCCACAAATATGGCGTCCAGTGAATACTCCCTATAGAGGGTATTCACTGGCGGCCATAGCTGTGTGCGCGACTGCTGAGCGCGTGATGATGGCGAGCTTCCACAGTTCTTTTACAACGTGCATTCCGCACCATCAAGAGTGCCGGTCTTAGCCCCCACAAATATGGCGTCCAGTGAATACTCCCTATAGAGGGTATTCACTGGCGGCCATAGCTGTGTGCGCGACTGCTGAGCGCGTGCTGATGGCGAGCTTCCACGGTTCTTTTACAACGTGCATTCCGCACCATCAAGAGTGCCGGTCTTAGCCCCCACAAATATGGCGTCCAGTGAATACTCCCTATAGAGAGTATTCACTGGCGGCCATAGCTGTGTGCGCGACTGCTGAGCGCGTGCTGATGGCGAGCTTCCATGGTTCTTTTACAACGTGCATTCCGCACCATCAAGAGTGCCGGTCTTAGCAGCCTATTGATGTGAGCTCGTTCTGAGCATGCGCTCTAAACAGCACCCACAAATATGGCGTCCAGTGAGTACTCCCTATACAAACGATTCAGACATTACGAGAGTGGATTGAACAGTTCCCGGAACGGCAGTGAAAACAAAAGAAATAAAATTCAAGTTATATTTTATTTTTCAATAAAATCTCTTTCAAGCAGGTCCAACGTTCCCCCCGGGGAAGTGATTTTCTTCCGAGATACTCAAAATAAGCGTTGCCAGCCTCCATCAGATTTTCATTTGACACAAAACTCTTTCCAGTCAGAAATGTGTTTGAGTTTCGGGAACCGCTGGAATTGCGAAGCGGATGCGGAAGGATTTAGAAGTTAATTTCTGTCGCGATTGAACGGTTTTCCATGACGGTCAGCAAGTTTCTATTGTTAAAACCATACGTCCCTTATCGATAATTAAAAAAAAAAAAAAAAGAAAGTCGACTAACAGATTTTAGTCGATTATCCGGCGTGACGATTAGGCCCCTAAAATCATGTCCCTCTGACCGTATAACTCACCTGCGCGGACGGCATCCCTGTAACTAATTTTTATTTTTTTTTTTATTTTACAGTTTGTGCAGTGTTTGCGATTCTTAGGCGCCGTCGCACCGCTAGTACATGATACAAAAGCCACGACGTTCGCCGCATACATGATGAAAGAATGAATAATCGGCGGTCGCGCCTCAAGCATACGTTCGAAGCTATGTTTGCTTCATACATTTGTATACTTCGCGCATGTCCAGAGACAGGTTTCGTATGACCAATGTGACAGTTATAGAAGAAAGAAACGTGTCTCAAACAGTGTCTGGAGACTGCCTTCTCTGTAATGTATTGGCAGTGTGACCGCCCGAGTAACGTCGTAATAGTTCGGTCAAGCTTGAAAACGGATAAGATTGCACGTGTGCGAGATTGAACGAACGCGTTCACTGCGTCGTGGTTTCACCGGTGGGGGCACGTCGTGTATACGACCGCTGTGCACCTTCGAATATTCGGTCCGTTTTTGTGCGTGTAGTTCGGCAACGGTATCTTCGAGAAAAATTGAACGTCGAGGAATACAATCTTTCGCGCTAGATTCCGTTAAGCCAATGGCTAACCTCTGTGGTGGATGAACTTACCGTGACCCACCACCAGTGACCCGCGATGCACCGTGTAAAAATAAATGACGTCCGGCGCGGGTCGGGGGTGCCCCTCGCCATTCACCTAATTGTTCTATTAAAGCGCCCACAATGGTGTTGCCTTCTTAAATTGAAAAACACAAATGGCAGTATGCTTGCTCACTTTACTGCCAACCTCTCAATTCCGAGAGGAGGTGTCACGTTTTCTTTTCGGCACACAGCCCCCCCCCCCCCCCCCCCAACATGCGCAAAAAAAAAGACAAAAAAAAAAAACGCGTTTACGCGCTCGAGAAATCTGATAGACTTGCTAACGCTACGCATTGATCACTGAAAGCACGCGCCCAAAGGAGGGATGGCGAAGAAAGTCGTCACATTCTCTAGAGAATCCGGAAAAGCCACTTAGGCTTCTAGCATGATTCAACAATGGGCACGAATAGAAGCCACTGAAGGTTAATAAATCTCCCGCGGTCATTTTAAAGATGATTATACGGAAAGCCTCGTCTAAGAACACCTTAAAATTCTAACAATTTATTTATTTTATTATTGAGGTGTTTTGAGGGTGCTTTAAGTAAAATGTGCCAGGAAATTATATATATATATATATATATATATATATATATATATATATATATATATATATATATATATATATACAGGGTGTTTTTTTTTTTTTGTTTTGTTTTTAAGCTTAAC